AATATAAATATATCAGATTCTTCTCATTATGCCTGACTGGACGAAGAAATACATGATAGAGCATTTGAATGTGTGTGCCTTTTGCCACCACAGGCACAAAGGGCACACAATTGAAGAAAAAATCTCTGAAGAAGCTATGCAGGGAGAAGGAGATGCACACAAGTGCGCAAAGCAATAAGTGTGAGCGAGGGGCACTCTGCACACGCATATACACATATGTATGTATTTGGGCTGAAAAGATACATATATTACAAAAAAGCATCAGCCGCAGCAACGTTGTGCGCTGAGCGGGATGCGGCTTCATACTGAACGTTCGGCTGTCAAGGCCGGCGTTCGGCTGCCACTCTCAGCAGTCTTACTTTGTCTGGGCACACTAAAATGGTCGCGGTCACCCATGGGGCTCAGTCGTTGACGATTTATCGGTATCCGATTATTTTGACATTTGACAAGTCTATGCATTGTATGGTTAGTGGCTCTACATAAGAATATAATGAATACGTGTTTCAGCGATTTGGGAAATTCCACTCGCAACATTGGTAAATTGGCAGAAAACGTTTCTATGAAAATTGTTTGTTTACCGTCCGATAAGTTTCAAAATCATTTTCAAAGCTTTTTGGAAACGTTGATTGTTAACATACTTTCCACGGGCAAGGCCGGGTTATACCCGCTAGTATTATATAAATATATAAAGTAATTAAATATTGTGACTTGTGTGCTGCAGAGTAAGTGCAATAATCTTTTTTTTTAATAATATTAACAAGCAAACAATTTGAGGAGAAACGACCAAACGAGGAGACAGACAGAGGGAAATCTATGGTCAAAGACAACATATATAAAATTATACATATAACTATGTATATGCAAATTTGGCAAGTATATAAGCGAAAAATGCGCGAAAAGGTGGCGTCTAAAGCGGAGGCGCCCATCGCTGCAGCCAAAGTTGCCCCCCATACTCCGGCACCTGTAGCCATTGGCACTTCAATGCAGCTGCATCAGCATGCACACCAACACCAGCAACGGCAACCGCTACATCATCAGAAGCAGCAACAACATCAGCAGGAGAAGAAGAGAAAGCCGAAGCCGAAACATAAGCGAGCGACTCCGCTCTCTGCAGCTCAGTCGCTGTCGGCGCTTGCGTCGGATCTTATTCTGGGGTTCGAAATGCCTGAGGCACCAAATGGCAATACGGCTGCTGAGCGGCCACAAAAGCGAAAAATAACACCCAAACAAACACTTAATAAGCGACTGATAACAGAGTCCGGCCAGCCAATCCAGGAAATCTCTCTCTCTCTCTCTCTCTCTCTGTCTCTCTCTCTCTCTCTTTCTCTTTCTCTATATATATATATATATATGTCTATCGGTCTGAAAGTCTGTCTCTGCGCGTACGTCTGTACAAACGAGGAGACAGACAGAGGGAAATCTATGGTCAAAGACAACATATATAAAATTATACATATAACTATGTATATGCAAATTTGGCAAGTATATAAGCGAAAAATGCGCGAAAAGGCAGCGTCTAAAGCGGAGGCGCCCATCGCTGCAGCCAAAGTTGCCCCCCATACCCCGGCACCTGTAGCCATTGGCACTTCAATGCAGCTGCAACAGCATGCACACCAACACCAGCAACGGCAACCGCTACAACATCAGAAGCAGCAACAACATCAGCAGGAGAAGAAGAGAAAGCCGAAGTCGACTGGCACAAAGCAGCATTAGAGCAACTGAGCCTGAAAATTTCCTCTTATTCTACACCCCGCGTCCGCGCCCGCTGCTTAAACTGCTTCTTCCCTTTCGTCCGCATCGTCGGCAGCAGCAGCAGCAGCAGCAGCCTCGCATGATAATTCACTGCTCTGGCCCAGGACTGGCAACGAAATGGCTTTCCTATGTGCAACGGGTCTGACCTTCTTCCTCACCTACTCCATATTCTCGGCGGTGCTTGGTATGCTGCAATTTGGCTACAATACTGGAGTCATCAATGCGCCCGAAAAGAATATTGAGAATTTTATGAAAGATGTGTACAAGGATCGCTATGGCGAGGACATTAGCGAGGAGTTTATACAACAGCTGTACTCAGTTGCCGTCTCCATATTTGCCATTGGCGGCATGCTGGGTGGTTTCAGTGGTGGCTGGATGGCCAATCGCTTTGGCAGAAAAGGCGGTCTATTGTTAAACAATGTGCTTGGTATATCGGGCGCCTGCTTGATGGGTTTTACCAAAGTTAGTCATTCCTATGAAATGTTATTCCTTGGCCGATTTATAATTGGTGTTAATTGCGGTCTCAATACATCATTGGTGCCAATGTATATCTCTGAAATAGCACCACTGAATCTACGCGGTGGTTTAGGTACTGTTAATCAATTGGCTGTGACTGTAGGTTTACTATTATCCCAGGTGCTGGGCATTGAACAAATCTTAGGCACTAATGAGGGCTGGCCCATACTACTGGGCCTGGCCATATGTCCAGCAATATTGCAATTAATATTACTGCCTGTTTGTCCCGAATCGCCTAGATATTTGCTCATAACCAAACAATGGGAGGAGGAGGCGCGTAAAGCATTGCGACGTCTGCGCGCCTCCGGCTCCGTAGATGAAGACATTGAGGAAATGCGCGCTGAGGAACGCGCCCAACAGTCCGAGAGCCATATATCGACCATGGAGCTCATTTGCTCGCCTACGTTGCGTCCACCATTGATCATTGGTATCGTGATGCAGCTGAGTCAACAGTTTAGCGGCATCAATGCCGTCTTCTACTACTCCACATCGCTCTTCATGAGCTCTGGTCTGACCGAGGAAAGCGCCAAGTTTGCCACGATAGGCATTGGCGCCATTATGGTTGTTATGTCTTTGGTGTCCATACCGCTAATGGACCGTACCGGCCGTCGTACATTGCATTTGTATGGCCTGGGTGGCATGTTCATCTTCTCCATATTTATAACGATTTCCTTTTTGATTAAGGAAATGATCGACTGGATGTCATATCTATCTGTGGTCGCAACGCTTGGCTTTGTCGTATTCTTTGCCGTGGGACCCGGCTCCATACCATGGATGATAACAGCGGAATTGTTCTCCCAAGGCCCACGGCCCAGTGCCATGGCCATTGCAGTGCTGGTCAATTGGATGGCCAATTTTGTGGTCGGGATTGGTTTCCCCAGCATGAAGACCGCACTCGAGAACTATACGTTTTTGCCATTTAGCGTGTTCTTAGCGATATTCTGGATATTCACCTACAAAAAGGTTCCTGAGACCAAAAACAAAACCTTTGAGGAAATCTTGGCACTCTTCCGTCACAATAACGGCAGTGGGGACAGTGTCAACGACAATGGCAACAGTAGCTCCACAGCGGACATTGAGATATCGCAACGTGACTCCAATGCGACGCGAACCAAAGTGCAGTAATGTAGGGCAGCTGCCGGTCGAGTAGTTTGCCTCCCTGTTGCAGTGTCGTTGCAAATTTAATTGCCATTTCAATGTGTGCACAAGGAAACAGTCGCAATCTCAACAATCGGAAATCACTTTTTTTTGCCAATTTCAACATCGAGTTTCGATGTGAAATTGAACGAAAAAGTTTGTTTTCGACAGCACTTGCGATTTACTATTGTTTATTTTTAATTTATTTTATGTATTTATCATTAAGTTACTTTTCATATTGTTTTTCTTATATTCATTGTTGAACTTAATAAATTTTGTTCGATTATATTTAGTTAGAAACATAAGCGAGCGACTCCGCTCTCTGCAGCTCAGTCGCTGTCGGCGCTTGCGTTGGATCTTATTTTGGGGTTCGAAATGCCTGAGGCACCAAATGGCAATACGGCTGCTGAGCGGCCACAAAAGCGAAAAATAACACCCAAACAAACACTTAATAAGCGACTGATAACAGAGTCCGGCCAGCCAATCCAGGAAATCTCTTTCTCTCTCTCTCTCTCTCTCTCTTTCTCTTTCTCTATATATATATATATATATATATATATATGTCTATCGGTCTGAAAGTCTGTCTCTGCGCGTACGTCTGACCGTTTGCTGGTCAATATGTCTGCCTTTTCGTCTATTTGTCTCTCTCTCTCTCTCTGTCTCTCTCTCTCTCTCTCTCTCTCTGTCTCTCTCTCTCTCTCTTTCTCTTTCTCTATATATATATATATATATATATGTCTATCGGTCTGAAAGTCTGTCTCTGCGCGTACGTCTGACCGTTTGCTGGTCAATATGTCTGCCTTTTCGTCTATTTGTCTACCTTTCTGTCTGTCTATCTAAGTGCCTGCCTGTCAAATTGCCCGTCTGTATGTCTCTCTGTCCGCGCAGACAAACACACCGGCAGAGACAGACAGGGAGAAATACAGACAGACAGATATGCAGACATACCGGAACACAGATAGACAGGCAGAAAGGCAGACCAATAGACTTGTAAACAGACATACGCTCGGGAAGAGAGAGAGAGGCAGACTGGCAGACAGGCAGACAGGAAGTTAGGCAGACGGACACACAAAACCACAGACTCGCAGGCATACAGACACACATGAAGAGAGGGAAAGAGATACACAGACAGTCAGGCAAACAGATACGCAGGAATACCAACAGCCTCTCAGACAGACACACCGGCAGATACAGACAGGCAGACTTACAGACACAGAGATATTCACAGAAAGACAGGCAGAAATACAGGAAGATATGCATACAGATAGTCAGACTGAAAAAGAGACTGAAAGACAGTCATACAGACAGACATTCAGACTTACAGACAGACAGATAGGAAGTTAGGCAGACGGACACACAAAACCACAGACTCGCAGACATGCAGACATTCAGGAAGATAAAGAGATACACTGACTGTCAGCCTCGCAGACAGACACACCGGCAGAGACACACGGGCAGATATATAGAAAGACAGACAGACAGACAGACATGCAGACAGAGAGACAGGCAGACAGACATGCAGACAGAGGCACACAGGTAGACAGACAGAAAGTCAGACAAATAGACTCGCAGACAGTCAGACGCACGGGCACAGATAGAGAGGCAAACCGAGCGGCAGACAGACCGGCAGACAGACAGACAGATAGGAAGATAGGTAAACGGACACACATACCCACAGACTCGCAGACTTACGGACACACAGGAAGAGAGAGAGATACACAGACAGTCAGGCAAACAGATAGACAGGAATACCTACAGCCTCGCAGCCAGACACGCCGGCAGAGACAGACAGGCAGATATACAGACAGACAGACATGCAGGCAGAGAGACAGGCAGACTGGCAGACAGACAGAAAGGAACACAGATAGACAGACAGAAAGTCAGATCAATAGACTCGCAGACAGTCAGATGCACAGGCAGAAAGAGAGGCAGAGCGGCAGACAGACAAGTAGACAGACAGGCAGACCGATCGGCAGACAGACAGACATATAGGAAGATGGGCAGACGGATATACATACCCACAGACTCGCAGACATATAGAGACACAGGAAAAGAGAGAGATATACACACATAATCAGGCAAACAAATAGAAAGGAAACCCTTCAGACTCGCAGACTGACACACCGGCAGAGACACACATGCAGACATACAGACAGACAGACAGACATGGAGACTGAGAGACATGCAGACGGGCAGACATTAAAGAGAAACACAGGTAGACAGATATAAAAAGTCAGACCAATACACTCGCAGACAGTCAGACGCACGGTCACAGAGAGAGGGAGGCAGACAGGCAGACAGAGAGGCAGACAGACCGGCAGACAGACAGACAGATAGGAAGATAGGTAAACGGACACACATACCCACAGACTCGCAGACATACGGACACACAGGAAGAGAGAGAGATACCCAGACAGTCAGGCAAACAGATAGACAGGAATACCTACAGCCTCGCAGACAGACACGCCGGCAGAGACAGACAGGCAGATATACAGACAGACAGACATGCAGACAGAGAGACAGGCAGACGGGCAGGCACACAGAAAGGCACTCAGATAGACAGACAGAAAGTCAGGCCAATAGACTCGAGGACAGTCAGACGCACAGGCAGAAAGAGAGAGAGAGGCAGACAGGCAGACAGACAAGTAGACAGACAGGCAGACCGACCGGCAGACAGATAGGAAGATAGGCAGACCGATACACATATCTACAGACTCGCAGACATATAGACACAGGAAGAGAGAGAGATACGCAGACAATCAGGTGTAAGCTCGATGCGTACGAGTTAAAGGATCTGACACGTCTTAGCCGTTTGAGTTCGGTTTTAATAATGCTTTATTCAATGTCTCTTTAAGTACGCTTAGCCTATGTACATAAGTGCTTAGGCTAAGGCCGCGTAGCTGCGCTGCCGGTTACGCTAGCAGCGGAGCGGCTGCATATATGTATATGTCTTAACAGTAAAAGAGAGCGAGAGAGTCTTATGCGCATATATATATGTTATTGGCAGTCAGCGTGGGAATGCTGACTTAGCGTAGTTCATAAGTGGGTGATCATATTTCACGCTCACTTGAATTGGTTTTGTTTTTGTAATGCAACAAAGAGGTGCTGTTATATTTATGCTGAGTTCTTGGTACAGTGTACCCTCGATATATGCGCATACTACATCTCCCTCCTATTAAAAATGACGTAACAAAGTGGAGTTATTTTACCTATATATTAAAATTGTATTTATATATATTTTTGTTGTAATAAAAATTTGAAAATTTATTATGTTTAGAATGAATATAGTATGTATTTTTTTTATGTTAAGAATGAATATAGTATGTATTTTTTTTTTTTTTTTTTCGGTTTATATATTTTTGCATATTAAATTTATTATGAATTAAAAATCTTTAACCTATCTTTAGGAACTGTTTGTTTTTTATTTTTATTTCCAGAGATAACTATATTATCTCTATCTTCTATTTTTTCTACCATACAGGGCCCTGTGTACTTAAAATCTAGCTTATGGCCTACTTCATTTCGTAGTAAAACTTTATCTCCTATGGATTAAATTATGTCCTTAGTTTTTAAGTCATATAGCTCTTTATTTTTTTGTTTGTGTAGTTCAAGCATATTTCTTGCTCTTTTGTATGCTACTTCTAATATAAACTTGCTTTCTTTAGCGTAATCTTCTATGTTATATGTAGGTTCTATATTACCTATGCTATTGAAGTATTTTGGTAGATTACTAGTCTTACCAAATGCTAACTCATATGGACAATAATTATGTGCCATAGACGGGGTTGTGTTGAAACAATAAACAAAGTATTGAAGTCATACATCCCAATCAGTTTTATTTACTGATATGTAGGATCGTATATATTCATTAAATGTTCTGTGGCTTCTTTCTATTGTTCCAACGGTCTGGTGATGGTGTGCAGTTGATGTTATGTTGGTTATTTTTAAATATTTGCACAAGTCATTTATAGTTGAATTCTTATATTCCGTTCCCATGTCCGAAATGAACGTCTTCATTGGACCGTACTTGAGAATAAAAGATTCAAATATTGCTGTTGCTACTGTTGCCGCGCTTTTATTTGTCACTGATTAGCA